TGCCATATAAACCATCAAAGAGCAACTTGCATGGCAGCACTGTCTTACAACAGCTTGTGAACATGCTGGATATATCAGGATTTCTGCTCTGATATATTTTAAAACGTATTCTGAGTTTTACATAAGTCACATTTTTAGACAAACACAATCTGAGTAAACTAAAAATACACAGACAGCAGTACTTGCACTAGTGAACACAACGAGAAATCATTTGAGTGCATGCTTCAGAAACCACCATATCTGAATTCAGCATCTTGTAGATGTGGTGGGAGGTCCCTTTTGGGGGGTTTTAACCATTCTGTAGTTGATTTACTTTTGGGCACTGTGTTATTTCTTTTTGCATCATCAAACTTCTGCTAAGCTTCAGCTCATCATCAGTTATTTATATAGCACTTTAACCCTCTCGGGCTCAAATTAAACTTTTTGTTGCTAATGCACAACCAAGTCCTGCTGTGGTACTTCTGAGTAAAAAAAAAAACTCATAAAATATGTATGTGGGGTCATCAGGTTGTTAGCTTTTAACTGTTGCAAATCGGCTACGCCTGCCTCAAGAGGGTTAAAAACACACCTGGTAGACCAAAGTGCATAACGAAATAGCCAAATTAGCATTAGATGCACGAAATATAAATATAATAATAGACAGCAGAAACCAGAAATAGCAACAAAATTAATAAAAATATCAGTTACCCACAGAGTTGAAAGCCAGGGAATAAAAATAGGTTTTTAATAAGGACTTAAAACTGGCACTGATGTAGCCTGTCTAATATGGAGAGGAAGGTTATTCCAAAGCATCGGCGCTACAACAGCGAACGCTCGGTCTCCTCTAAGTTTCAGCCGTGACTTTGGGACCGAAAACAACAACTGCTCAGCTGACCGAAGGGAACAAATGGGGACGTAGGGCTTCAACAAGTCAGACAAATAAACAGGTGACAGACTATTTAGAGATTTAAAAACCAATAAAAGGACTTTAAAACGGATCCTAAATTCAATTGGAAGAGTGATGTGGTCAAATTTCCTTCTGCCAGTTAAAAATCGTGCTGCAGCATTTTGAACTAGTTGCAAGCGTGCCCTGCCCAACCCCTATTAAAAGAGAATTGCAATAATCTAAACATGAAGTAATAAAGGCATGAATAACACTGAAAGGGCTTAACCTTCGTTAAACGTCTGAGGTGATAGGATGCTGATTTTACCACCCCGTTTACGTGGTCATCAAAGGTAAGTGCAGAATCAATTTTTACTCCGAGATTTGTGATCGAATTCTTTAGTTGGGAAGTCAAAGCTGCAAGATCAACATCTGGAGCGTGAGAAATATTTTCATATTTTTCTTTTAAGCAGAGTTTTTTTTTATATTGGGAAAGACTTTATCACCTCTGTCACTGCTTTTTTGCCTTTTCCTTTTCAGAACTGCATGTTGGGTTTTTGGTATAAGAGTAAGAGTAACAATTGTCTTAAATGTCTTCCATTTTTAGAAACTTTGTCTTATTCAGACTGTTGGGCCCCCTGGTCTTTTGAAAAGTTCATGCATCTCTGCAATGCTTCTTCTAAGGTTACGTGAAAGTTGAGTAATGCTTCTTGAAAATTGTGTCATAATTTTGTATGTATATATCAGAAGGTTGGTGTCTACAACCAGCAATTTCAGCGTCATCTCTCCAGACTGCTTACTGCAAGTTCTGTGTTTTTCCAGCCTGAACAGTGAATGATTACTTCCTTTTGTCTTGATAATTTATCTGTAATTTGTGGCCGTTTGCAGAAAATATGGGGTTTGGATTAGTCTCCATTCCAGACTGCCTCCTGTGCCAGACATCCTGCTCAGCTGTAGTTGGGACAGATAAGTTCCAGTCTGCCCTGAGGTCTTCTCAAGGACCAGCTTGCCTTGCTTTCGAGCCTGGCTGCTGAATGTTGGCATCCTAAACACTTCCTCTCAGCACAAATGTACGCACACACCGAGCCCATAAACTGAATTTGTGGTTAATCACACAGTGGTTTAATAGAAAGACTATCAGTTTCAAAGGAAGTAAACAGCACAGCAGCTGACACGCACTAGACACATAAAGAGATGCTGTCCAGTCAAAACAACCTGCAGAGACATACCGACTGCTGAGACACACTAAAAGAATTCTTCACAGGAGTAAACAAACATTACATTTTTCCACTGATTTTCACATCGTTTTTGCTGTCTCTGCACACATCTCCACCACCACGAGCAAAAAGAAGAAACACGTGGCCTTTTACACAAGCACCCCACAACCCTCGGTTATTTCATTCCCGACACACTCCTCGTCCCCTCCCATTCTCTGAGTTAACTGTATAAATACCCACACTCAGAGCATTATCAGGATATCAGACACTCAGGCGAAAAGAGACTAGCTTAAGAAAACAAAAGAGAGTCTAAAAAAGAGTCTAGGTTTTTAACAAGAGAGGTTAGACAACTGCATCTACAAACTCCCACATACCACAAGATTCAGTCCTCTGAAATGTGGCTCCAAGTGTCCCTCTTTAGTTTGTCCGGCTTACTTCTGTCAATCCAAACCCAGGCTCAAGATCAAGCCTCTCTCCACCGCTCCAATGACCCCTCTGGACATTGTCATTACACCTTTACTGTGGCCAGTCCACAAGAGTCCAGCTGCCCTGGAAGCAACCGCGAGATGGATGGAGTCTTGTCCAGGCTCACCCTGCTCGAAGCTTTGGTCAGCCGTCTCCTAGCAGGAGTAGACAAAGGCACCATGACTGGGGTTGGAGCTAATAGAGAAGAAGGTCTCCAGGAAGCTTATTCCCAGGTTACTGGGGAAAGAAACCAGCTGCAGCAGGATAAGGAGCGTCTAAACAGGCAGATCCAAGAGCTGCAGAGGAGGTTGGCTGAGCTGAGCCAGGAGGCAGAGAGCCTCAGGCAGAAACCCTGCCAGCAGACGCTCACCTCAGTGGGCACTCAGCATGAAAACAGACCAGCCAATGGTATGTACCAGTCAGGGGGTAACGGGAAACCACACAAATAAAAAATGATCTTAGTTAAAAGATTGTCAATCACAAAAGAACACATTTTCTTAACCACAAAATCATACAAATTCAAAATAATGCTTTTTAAAAAAATAAAATAAAATCTGTGAAGAAACATATTTTATGCAATTTTTGCCAGCTCTAATGTTTGTTTGTTTTTTTCAGAATAAATGTTTCTGTGGTAGACTCGTGCTTTGAAAAGTCTAAAGAGGCAGAGACAGGCTGGCCTGCAGTTAACTGTCCCCAGTTAAGTAAGGGGATAGGAATTTTTACCACAGTCTTTTTTTATGGTTTCGTCACTCATGTTGATGTTTACACAAGTGTGATTATTTTCAGGGTTAGAGCATCAAGCACTCTGAGGAAAAAACAGGGACCTTACAACTTTTGAGGTTAAAGTGTTACTTTTGAGTTTTGCTCAGAATTTGTATTTCTCTCCCAGATCCCGCATATGACTTTGGGAATAGTGGATATCAGGAGATGAAAGCTGAAGTGACAGAGTTCTCTGCATCCCACGTCTTCCATGAAGGAAGTCGCAACTTCACAGGTAGCGTTTTACTGGAGTTGTTGGAATCGAGCATTATAGCTTTTAAGCAAATTAAAATTTAGAGTCTAAATTAAAGTAACTTGCTTTTTTCCCTCAGGTTGTGGAGAGTTAGTGTCAGTGGGAGATCCTGTGTCACACAGGAAATCTGACAGTATCACAGGGAAGTATGGTGTGTGGATGCAGGATCCAGAGCCTCAAGGCCCTCAGTACACCAACAACACTGTGTGGCGTATTGATGCAGTGAGAAGAGATGTGCGTCACCTCTTTGCATATGAAGACATGGATCAGTTCTCCCGAGGTTTCCCAATGAAGGTGCTGGTTTTGCCAGAGCCTGTGGAGAGCACAGGGGCAACTGTGTACCGAGGCTCCCTTTACTATCAGCGAAGACGCAGTCGGACACTGATTCGCTACGACCTGGCTTCTGAATATCTGGCATCCCGCATGGACCTGCCTCATGCCGGCTTCCATGGCCAACACCCTTATTCCTGGGGGGGCTACACTGACATTGACCTAGCAGTGGATGAACAGGGTCTGTGGGCCATCTACAGTACAAGTAAAGCAAGGGGTGCAATTGTAATTTCACAGCTGAACCCCGAGAGCTTGGAGGTGAAAAAGACCTGGGAGACTAATATTAAGAAGAACACAGTGGCCAACGCTTTCATGGTGTGTGGACGTTTGTACACAGTTGCTAGCTACACTGTTCCCAACACCACCATCAACTTTGCGTTTGATACAGCCACTGGTGTGGGACAAGCTGTCTCCGTGCCCTTCAAAAACAAGTACAGTTACAACAGCATGGTGGACTACAACCACGCTCAGAGGAAGCTGTATGCCTGGGACAACTTCCACATGGTCACCTATGACATCAGACTGGGCAGGGCCAGCCATGGCAGGAGCTAGAGAGGACACAGAGAAGGACTGCTGTTGGCAGGACTGATGCAACAACAAGTGATAGAGATGAAATAAATAATCATTTCAGGTGCTCTGTCAAGGCTGTGCTATCAATGTGTTTTGAATTTTACAGTATTTCTGTGGCATTAGTATCATAAATAAGGAGTGGCATAAAAACAAAGAACTATTCATACAGTAAAGCTGTTCAGTGTGGTTATGTGATATTGTTACTGATGGCTCATGAAACAGAATTGTAATCTGCAAATGTTATTTTTTATTTAAGATATGAATTTATGAAATAAAGTTTTTGTTTTCTGGATTGCATTTTGAAAATGTAGTCACAACCAAGCACTCATGTCCTCAGCTGCCAAAGCCACAAACTGCAGCGTTCCAACTGCTGACTATAGCTGCCTCAAAGAGCAAGTTAGTAGACTACAGTGGTTACAATACCTAAATTTAGAGCTGACTGTGCTGTGGTTCTCAGATTTACTGCTTTTTGTAGATGTACACAACTGAATTGAGCAGGACGTAATCCAACATTTCACAAGCCATCTCGGTTGATTTGCATCCTCTACAATGACAGCATACTCTTCAGAATAACTTTAAATTAGACCTGGTTAGCATAATTGTGGAATTCAAAGAATGAAGCTAAGTATTATCAGCTCAAAGCCAAATTATTCTCTGCTACACTTTATGTAACCTAATACAGAGCATGAGCACCACAACCCCTGTGAAACAGTCCAATACAGGTTAAAGGATACAGGATGTTTCATAAAATAAAATAAAACAAAAACAAAAACTTCACATCATACAAGCACATTTCCTGTTCATCAAATGCCCCTGAGCTGTTCTAACCATTAAATATAACTGCTCTTCCTCTCCTATCTATCTTGTATTTCTTCATCTCTGAGTGCAGTCAGTTGTTATTCTTTTCACTACCCCATGAAATACAGCAGCAGGATGTTTAGCTAACAACACACTGTGACAGCAGTCCACAAACCTGACCTGATAGAAATGTTACATTTCAAATTACCTGACACTTTAATAACATGTTACTCCCTTTGTACTTGCTCCTCTTCTTTATTGCTAACTTGATGCTGAAATACCAAGACCAATTCCATATAGGAACAGTTTAGTGCTATAGATTCTGCATAAATTATCTTTGTGCATCTTTCATTTCGTTGTATGCTGTAAGCGTTGGCGATGGCTAAACCAATAGGATTGTCTTTAATGTCTCATTGTTCCCTTCATTTAGGCACAAATCTGTTTTAAGGTGCACAGTACCGGGAAATAAAAACTTACCTCAAATGCGTTAAACCTAATGTAACAAGCTGTTTTGAAAATATAAGGAGTAGAAAGCACAGACCTTTTATTTTAAGCTCCTTTTTGCTAGCCAAAGTTAGCATCCTAATGAAATAAACAAGCTAGCTAGAAATAGCATTAGCAGGCATCGCCCACGTTCATTAAAATATGGTTACGTCTTCATTAAACAAAAACAAACCATGCCACGTAGAATCAGCACCAGCAAAGGAGCTCAGCTTTGGAAGCTAATGTGCTGTTTATTACCTACAACCTCAACCACAGGCTTATCTACAGGCAGCATTAGCCAAGTTAACTTATGTCATAAAATAAGGACAACCTTAGTCCATTCTAATACTTAATACTACTGTTAGATGGGCTGGACTGTGGGTTCAGAGATCCTTCCTCGTTGTTATGCTACTTCCTGAAAAATATAATTTTTCATTAAATAGAAATATTGCCCATTTTCAATTTGAGGGCAACAACATCAAAAAAGTTGGGACTGGGCAACAAAAGGGTGGAAAAGAAGGTGGTACTAAAAAGAAACAGCTGGAGAAACATTTTGCAGTTAATTGGGTTAATTGGCAACAAGTCTGCAACATGACTGGGCATAGAAATAGCATCTTAGAGAGGCAGAACGTCTTAGATGAAAATATGAGCAGAGGTTGACAATCACCAAAAAACTGTATCTACAAATTGTAGAACAATTTTAGAGGAATGTTCCCGTGTAAAGTTGCAAAGAAATCATTCAGAGTACATAACGTCATCAAAGGTTTCTGGGAAGCACTGTGTGCAAAGGACAAGCCTGAATATCATTGCTGAATTTCTGAATGTCTGCATTGAATTTAAAAAAGTATGATTCTGTCATGGAAACCATTGCATGAACTCATTCACTGTCTGTGAACGTATTCACCGTGCCATCCACAAACATAGGTTAAAGCTGTCGTGCAAATAAACCTTTCTGAATCCAGGAAAGAATTGAGGCCAAGAGAAAAACTGTTCTCTGGTTAGGCAAATCCAAAATTTACATTCTTTTTGAAAAACATACGCCATGTCCTCCCAAAGACGAGGGGGACCATATTATCAGTGCTCAGTTCAAAAGGGTTGCATTAGCCCTGCGGAATTAGCAGCTTTCGCATCAGGAAAGGCCCCATCAGCATGATTACTGAGTGCAGGTTTTAGAGCAACACATGCTTCCATCCAGTCCAATTTATTTTCAAGATTGCCCTGCATATTTCAGCAAGACAATCTTGATGCACATACTGCAGCTATTACAATAGCACAACTTTATAGTAGGAGAGTCTGGGTGCAGAACTCGCCTGCACTTCAGATCTTTCACCAACTGAAAACATTTCAAGCATCATCAGAAAATATCTGTCCATCTTCTTCCACTTATCCGGGGGCCGGGTTGCGGGGTCAGCAGCCTAAGCATAGAAGCCCAGAACTCCCTCTCCCCAGCCTCCTCCTCCAACTTATCCGGCAGGCCAACCAAGAGATGTAATCTGTCCAGCGTGTCCTGGGTCTGCCCCAGGGCCTCCTCCCAGTGGGACATGCTCCCAACACCTCACCCAGGAGGCATCTTTGGCAGGCCCCTCACTTTCCGAGAGAAAAACGTACTGCTTTTAAAAGAAGACGGGATTTGTCTTACAGCTCTAAACATGGCTCTGGCAAAACTTTTTTGAGGCTTGTTGCAGCCATCAAATTCAAAATGAGCTAATATTCTTCTTGTAATTATATATTTTCTCTTTGTAAACCTTTGATATTTTTTCCATGCTGTATTGTGATTAAAATATAATTTCCTTGTATTTTGGCTTTGGTTACATTTTACATTTACAGGATATCAACCTTATTTTGGAATTGAGGTTCTAAGATACACAGTATATTCAATAAATGTACTCCTCCTTTTATAATTACAGAAAGCTTTCAGAAAATTGTTCCTATTTAAACACAACTGTGTTCTTTAAATTTAGATGATAAAAGTTTAACTAATATGAGTATATGTATTCACACGATGAAATTGAAAGAGATGAGGTTACTTCTGTCACATTTCTTGGAGTAATAAAACCGCTGACAGACACGCGCCCACACGTCAGCTCACCTGCATTATTTGAAAGTCAATAAAAATGAGCAGCTTTGCTTGAAAATATCCCACGTTCCCACTTACAACCTGAGCACAACTTGTCACACTTTCCAGCTGTTTATGTAGGCTACACATGCATCTGCTGTCTTAACCTGTTCAACATGTTAACTCCAAACCCACATGTATCGAGTGTAATGATTTCTGTACCAACTGCTTGCTTTGGAAGTGGTATTCGGTGTGTTAAAAAGGAGGCGGTGGCAGCAGTTTATCAACACTGTAAGATGAGATGGAATGTGTTACCGTGCAATGACAGTCAGGAGACTCAGCAGCAGCAGCTGATGGAAACTTGGTTGAGTGTGAGTTGACTTTCCCCACAACAATGTTCACACAAACACACTGTGGCTAAGCCACATGAAAAACAAACACAGAAAAAATTCTCACATCATGAAGTGTGTCAAGGGGGAAGTCTCTTTTTTATACCACAGTTTAAACTTTCACACACACTCAAAAAAAAAAAGTAATTTTTTAAGATAGAAAATTTAATTAAATAAATTCAACATTGGTTTCAGGCTTGTGAAATTAAGTCCATGCATTATCAATAGTGATGTGCAAACAAGCAGCTTAATGGAGGTAAAACATTTAATACTTCTACTTCAAAATAAAAGTAAACGCAAAGACAAACACATAACGCTGATACAGATTTTTTTAAAACATATAAGAATCCTAAAATAACATCAATAATCAGGAATTTCAGAATTACCCACTCATGTTCAACATTTTCCTACATGCACACACACCTAAACCTGACCTAATGTTTCCCATCTAGCATCCAGAGTCCATCGTAAGCCCTGTTCAGCCTCTCTCCCAGGCCAATGAGCAGCGCGTCCTGCAACCAGTCCCAAGTCACCCACAGTCTTTCCACCAGACTGTACTGGCAGTAGCCCATGGCCAAGCCAAAGCCCACATCTGTCACATAGTGTCTTGCAAGCAGCAGTCGGGACAGGCTCACCAAAGCAGCCCACCCCACCACCAGGAGCCGCATGGAGTCTGTGTCCACCAGCTGGGCGAGGAAGAACCGGGCGCACATGGCCGCCCGTGAAGCGTGGCCGGAGGGAAAAGAATAGCGCTCCACGAAGAAGGTGGAGAGGATCTCCGAGCGGTTCTGGGTGGGCATGCGACGTCTGACCAGAGTCTTCACAAGTCTGACAAGCAGCAAATCCAAAATCAGAGCTGTGGGGAGGAAGGAGTAGTTTTTAAAGTTGAGGATGTAAATAACAACAAGATTGCATTAGATATATATTAGTTTACAATAATAACAATTATTATTATTATTAAATATTAGTATTACATTTTCCTTAAAATATAGTAGAAAAAGAACTAAATAGCTGAAAAGATGAGTAAAAAATGCAGCTGAAGTTGTTCAGTTGTTGATACATTTATTTAAAGCTTCAGTTAATTATAGATTTACACTGTAAAGACAAACAAAAGTTTTACTTTAGTGTGTTGAACTTAATTTGTACCAGCTTTGAAACACTTGTTTTCCCGCTTAAGTTAGCTGTACTTTCTGTCCCCATTCTGAGTTGCACGCAGTTGCTTAATTGAGCACTTGATGTTGCCAAGTATGGGGCATTTCTGCAAAAGAAAAACTTGTGGTAAAGATAATGTTTAGCTTCATAAGCTTTATCGGTGCTGTGATCATTATTTCAGTTAGGCTGTGTTTCGACTAGCTTGTGAATTCATGATGTGGTTTCCTATGTTAGCTTGCCCCGGTAACTGAGACTGCCTTTTTAGGGTTTGATTACTAGTACCAGTGTTACTGTAACCATGCAGTATGTAAATACTGTGGAAAAGTTGTCTTGAACTTATATCTAATATTTAATCATGGTGACTTTGTTTGAGTTTCTTCTTTAATTAAAAAAAATTACTAGACTAAGGTTTTATATAAAACTTATATACGGTTTTATATATTTTTTATACTGAGAAACAGCCGACTGACATTGCTCCACACCTCGCGGCTTAAAGTCAAGAGTCCTCTGAGGAAAAGTAAAAAATTTTCCCTGCTTTCTTGAATAATTGTCCAGTTTTCAAATTATTTCAAGACATTTTTTTTCCAAATGCTGCAGCTATTGATGTTTTTTCAGTCTAATCTCACACCAAGGATACCTCTTCAGCCTAACATCCTCTAAAAAGAATCGGTCTGCTGCTGTGATCACAGTTTGTATTCTTGTTTCTTAATGCTTATCATAATCCTGAAAAAATATTCCTGGAATTTATTACATGATCATAATTGGAGGAAATGACCCTACTCTCATTAATATTCCTGGCAGATTATTTAGATTTGTGAGCTAAATCTACATGATCGGCACTGTGTCCAACAAAAATGACTAATAACATTAAATTGGCTAAGTAATACTTTTACATCCCTTGCAATTCCTTTGATGTCTCTAAATATCCTATCCCATCATCTCATTTATCATCAAATTTCAAACTTTCTCAAGCTTCCTAACACAGGTTTTGAATCCGCAGCGAATACTCTACAAATACTTGATGGCCTCGCCCAAAGTTCAAAAGTTCAACGAGCTCAGCAGCTTTAGGAGCTAATAAATTACATTTGAACATCTTTGATAGTCCATGAGGGCTTTCAGATATTTAAAGAACTGAGATCTAGGTATTTCAAACATCTTCAGATGTTTTCAGTACATCATTATAGCAAAGGTCAAATTTTGCAGTGAACCATGGTTAGCAGCTTTAGTTAGCACTCTGCTAAACATTTTGAAGTCAAGTGGAATTTTATTTCAGTTGAATCAACCAATAGTTGAGATTTTAAACATGTTGAACTCTTAATGTAACACCTTGGGGAACTGAGCAAGGCTGAAGTAAAAGCATATAACCAGCTCAATTTATTGACCTAGAAAAAAAATTCTAAAGGTCTTTGACCCGGTCAATACCTGATTGGTCTAACATCATATACTATCTCCAAATCTCCATGGCATCCTGGGCTTTTACAGGCCAGAAATAGCTCTGGCATTTCACCACAACACAATACAGTATAGCAGCACAGAGCTTGAACTCAAGGCTGCAAGTTCACAAATATAATTTACACGTGCAAATAAATCATCAGCCATGACCGGTGGATCACATCTCAGACAGCTCCCACGAAAAACTTTCCATCGCTGTCGTGCAGTTGTTTCTCGCTCAGACACCATTTACTCCTGCTAATGCATTAATTGGCACTAGTTGGACTCATTTTGGTCTCTGGACATTAAGAGCTATTAACGTTATCTAGCTTTGACCAAACATGAGAGCCACTTATGAATGCCACGGGTTCCACTGTGGCCATGGCACAAACGTGCATAATAACGCACCGGCTTATCGGCAATGTGGTGATAAATATGAAGCTGCGAGAGCGTCGGACAGCTAAAGTCAGTTTGACTTTGGAGCACTTCTTACGTAAATATCGAGCCTGTTGATGGCTGTGGACTTAGAGATGTGTTATTTATTAAATCAGAACATATTTTTGTTTCATTAAAGACATAAATCCTAACATTAACTATGGTGTAATGATACATACCCAATGCCAAATTCAGCATGATCTCTTGCTCCTCCACACTTCGTCCACGGAGAAGAGTGTACACGGTGCCGATGAGCCACGGGATGACATGACCGGAGAACTCGACCAGCCGGACCAAGGGCCGTATGCTGCCCCATGCAGACCCCTCACAGGCGCATACTCCGAGCCGTTTGGACAGCCATAGATCTATCGCCAGCAAAAACCGGAGCGTTACAGTACATATCGGCTGACTCAGACTGACTGAAAAGTCTCCCGTTTGCGCTCCAGAGGCAAAGTAAGAACAGCTGGAGCTCCGGCGACGGACTTGGTATTCAAAAGTTGCCCGGCTTCCACACGCAGCTCCACGGCAACTATTCCGCCTGGACCCTGGTGAGGACATTTTGGTTGGACAGTGCCGTAGGTCGTGTATCCGCTCTCCTTTATGGCCCCTGATGAGCTCGTAACATCCTGCCCGGTTTACAGGGGATAAATGGTACCAGTTTAGAACGGGACCGCTCTTGTCACGTGACAAGAATGAATCCACAAAACCGTGCTCGTTGAACGGGTCCGGTGTTGAGCTTTAGGCTTTTTCTTTAAACTTGGAAACCCAGCGAACACGTTATCACTTGTGAACCAGATAGCCCGCATTGACTGTAAAGTTTGACTATTTTGTTAGTTGTGTCATAATAAACATTTCATAATAATAAATGTCTATATTCTCTTCACGACACCGGTCTGAGCGCAAAATGTGTCACAACTACGCCAAAGGCTCAGAGCGCAGCGCTTTTTATGAACCTAAATTGGGTCTATCATGCTGTGGCAGTGCGTGCGTGGTTTCCGCCTCTTCTTTATTTTTGCTCTACCTGCTGTCACCAGAGCTACTGCACACCGGACTAAACACTTCCACGGCCACAGCATGCCGGGGCTGCTGCTCGGAGACGTGTTTCCTGATTTCGAGGCAGAGACCACCACCGGCACAATTAAACTCCACGAATTTCTTGGTGATTCGTGAGTAGACTTTGTGACTTTTTATTTTTGACGCTGCAGGTTTACAGACTTATTGAGAATTCGCTTAAGAGCGGGGAGAGAGGGCGGGATGTAGTTCCTGTCATGGTTTTTCGCTTCTGCTTTGAAATACTGCATGTGGCATTTTTAAAATCTGCATACTGTACCTGTAATGACGGTATTGTGGTCTAAGTGCGATCTAAGTGTGTCTAAAACAACACTTTACCACTTAGTGCATCTATCAGTAATCATCTCTTTGTGAGACAGTGAAAGTCTTCTGATATTGAGAGCATCTGTAAGCTGAACGAATGAAATTGAGGTCAAACCTGAGAAAAAAACGCTCCTTTGAGTGATTATGTGCAGACCGCTGACCTCAAGGTGGAGAAAAACAACTTTGCCGTCACTTTTGACAACTTTGCTAAACTCGTTTTACATCCTGTTGTCCTTTTGTGAAACCCAGAAACAAGCAGTAACACACACAATATCAAGAAATGCAGACTGATGCGGAGAGGAAACTGGGTCAGGATGAGGCTTCTTTTTTTCTGAGATCGAACTGAGCATGATGGTAAATCTGACTCATTTCAGATGGGGAATCCTGTTCTCCCACCCCAGGGACTACACTCCTGTGTGCACCACAGAGCTGGGCCGAGCTGCCAGACTCAGCACTGAGTTCAGTAAACGCAACGTTAAAATGATCGCCCTATCAGTGGACTTCCTGGAGGATCACCACGGCTGGGCCAAGGTGTTGTAACTACATTTTATTTATTTATTTATTTGTTGCACACCTTTAAGTATTTAGAAGTATTGGAAAAACACATAAAGAAAGCAGGAAGTCGGTGCTAGCTGGTGAACTGTGCTCTAAGCTTGGTGATATTTCAGCATTCTGACTTCCCAGCTGAGCATAGTTCTTTAAACAAGCCACGAGAGATTTGCAAGCCAAATGACATCGAGATATCTGGACTAATGCTGGGCTAAATCTATGTGGGTATTTAGGATTTTCCAACAACATGCTGAAATAAATGAATCCTTCTGGGTTCACTCAAAACCTCACTCCTATTAAAATCTCAGGTTTCTCAAATGAACAATGAACATTGAGCCTGTGCAGGCTTGACTCCTATATATAGTGTGTGCGGAAAGAATTTGCAACACAAATAAAGCTTCGACCACAAGCTGTGAATTTAAAACTGGGGTGAAAGGTGTATGAACCATATTGAGGATCTATAGAAGGACGAGGCTTGTGATTATGGGATGTGTATGAATGCTGTGTGTTTAGAGAGGCTAAAAGTGAGACTATCTCAGCCGTGGCAACTTTTTTTTACTGCTAGCACTCAATTTGATTACATCAGTTACAACTACTACATTTCCCTTGTGGGATCAATATAGTATCAATCTATATATCTTTGAGAAAGCCTGAAAACCCCGTGTGTGAAATTGTCTTCCTGCTTCAAATATTTGATGCTTTTTAAAAATATATATTGCACTTCAAAGTCTACCATGTTGCCTTTGCACCAGCTGTGAAATGAGCATCACTTCTCTTCCCAAGTATAAGGTTAAGTACTGTATACTGCCTCCAAAGTTGTCAATCACAATGATTAATAGAAATAATAATCATTAATGATTAATGTGGAATATCTACAATAGAACATCAAGGCACATAATCAGCAACCATCATTCCTGTGGCAAAATAGGATTATTATGTGAACAACCACTGTTCAAAGACCACTGCGCACATTTACTCAGGGCCTTCTTGATGCGATGTTCTTCTGCTTCCCTGGCTGCTGTGTCTGTGGGGATGGTGTTGGCTCCGTGCTGTAGTGTCCTGATGACACCCAGTTTATGCTGCAGTGGATGATGAGAGTCAAACCTTAAATACTGATCCATATGTGTAGGTTTACATCAACTTTTAAATGTCCCTGATTACTAATGGAAATCTCACAGTCTAAGAAGGCTAACCTGCCACTTTTCATATCCTTCATATCCTTTTCACCTTTCCTTTTCGGTGTCTCAGATCCTCCTCCTCTCTTTCTCTTTCTTTCTCCTTCCATCCCTTCCCCTTGGCTAGCCACCATGGGGCTCTGCCCCCATCACTTCCCTCCCCCTTTTTAAGTCCAGACTCAAAACTCACCTGTTCACAACAGCCTATTCCACATAAGCTTTTCCATCCTGCTACTTTAATTTATTTTATTTATTTGCTCTATGTTTTATCCTTATATTTTTGTAAATTTTTGTTTGTTGTAATTGCTTGTGAACAGTGTCCTTGAGTGTTTTGAAAGGCGCTTTCTTAAATAAAATGTATTATTATTATTATCCTCCCTGGTAAATTTGATGTGTTGGTCCACCGAGTTAATGTGATCAGTGAATTGTGGCACATCTTAAGGTGTCATCAACATACCTAAACCAATGACTTGGTGGTGTTCCAGGGTAGGATAACAAAGCCCTCTTTTCCACTTCTTCCATGTAAAAGTTGGCCACAATGGGTGAAACTGGGCAACCCATGGCACACCCATGTTTCTACCTGTAGTACTGACTCTTATATGTGAAATAGGTGGAATTAAAACACAGTTCCAAAAGCAAACACACGTGGTCGGTGCTGAGAGTGGTCCTGTTGCTGAGGTTGGTGTCATCCTGTAATCACTTACAAACTACCTCTACTGCTTCAGTGACTGGAATACAAGTGAAGAGAGATGTAACATCTCTCACCTTCTCTTTTTTTAAATCTTTTTTTTTTAAATAAGGAACGTATGAGAACACAAATAAACCGAAATAAACAAGGAATCGAAAATAAACAAACGAGTGTACCATCCATCCATCCATCCATCCATCCATCCATCCATCCATCTTCATCCACTTTGCCGGGGCCAGGTCGCGGGGGCAGCAGCCTAAGCAAAGAGGCCCAGACCTCCCTCTCCCCAGCCACCTCCTCCAGCTTATCCGGGGGAATACCAAGGCGTTCCCAGGCCAGCCGAGA